AGAGAGAGAGAGAGAGAGAGAGAGAGAGAGAGAGAGAGAGGAAATGAAGGAAAGAGAGTGATGTAACAGCCTAAAAATACCTCTCAACCCTATTTATATAAATGAAGAAGACAAACAGATACAAGTGCCCATACAAACTGAAACTAGCACATATAGGTCCTAATAACTTAAAATGAAAGAGAAACAAAAGATAAAGAGACTTTTGACAGGGGGAAAATAAAGGTCAAATATGAAATAAGAACAAGGGAAGGAAACGGGTAATCTTTCGAAAAATATACTTCTTATTAAAAATGGTTTCTTTCCTTCATAAAAGTTGTTATTTTCATTTCTACATATCATTTTAATATTTAAAATTTGAAACCCTTAAGAATGGACATTAAGCCATTATATATCAGCCGTTACAAAGGAAATAACAGATATTATTCACGGTACAGACCATGTTTTGCACCCTACCTGTCACCTTTATATAATGTTAGAGGCTGGGCTCGTTTCCTTTATAACAACCATTATTTTGGTTATAATACCCATTTTTTAAAGTCTATCTCTTTGTGGGATTCAAAAAGAGCACAAAACATAAAATATACCATGGGAAAGGAAAATTTCTTTTAGGAAGTGGGATGAATAAGATCATTTTTGCTACTTTGGAGAGTATGGTAATATCTAAAATTAACATACAAAACATGTCATCTTTATGTAGAATAAACACATTTCAGTAGTAGTATGGTTTCAAAATCTAATAGGGTTAAGAAGGCATACTGAGTTCAGGGGAGAGGAACGACAGAGAGCATGCTGCGAGAGTAGAATCAGATAAAAAAGATCAGACCCTAGGTTTTCTATTTTAATCAGCATTAGAACATCTGGGTAACATTTGAGAATTCCCAAAAAATATTTAAGGCAATTACGAATCTGATACATGATTAATCTTCCAACCCCGACTCTTCACTTCCTTTTACCCCCTCCCTTCCTTTTACCCCTTCCCTTGGGCAAAAAGCAGGCATCTGGCTCTGGAGGGCATCCGTAGAAGCAATTCTGTAGGCCCTTTGTTTAGAGCCAAAAAACAGAATATTCAGAGGCCAATATGTCATGCTTGAAGCCCTGAAAAAACAAGGTCAAGGAGTCTGTCATCTTTTGGGCCAAAACCAATAGCTTCTTCAAACGCCTACCCTACACAGACTTCCATCAAAGTTGGCAAGCTTTGTTACACTTCAAACCCACCCATATCCCCAGGGTTTCACTTGGGCCTCCTAATATCGGGTAAACCAAACTTAATTTCGACGGCTGCTCCTTAGGTAACCTAGGCCCAGCTGGGATCGGGCGTATCTACGGGGACCACGAAGGACGAACTCTTTTCTCTTTCTCCTTGTCCATCGGACTCACTGATTCCACTACAGCAGAGGCCCTCGCCCTCCTAGAAGGCCTCAAAACTTCAACCCCTGCTGGTGTTCAAGTCTGGTCATAGAAGGCAACTGCAGAGATGTTATTGCATTGGCTTCTGGCCAATCGGAATGCCCTTGGAGGTTAACGCACACTTTTTATGAAATCTTCTATATATGCAGGGATACGCACATCTCATGGAAGCATAAACAGCTGGAATCAAATGTAGCAGCAGAAGAACTTGCTAAAGAATGAGCAAGCCAACCCCAAGATCCTCATGGAACTCTTTTGGCACCTTTTATTTAGTGGTTCTGTTTTTTTAATTTTGGCTACTAGTAATGTATAGCAATGATGACCACTAATCTCGTTTTGTATAGCACAACCCTGAGAGGGCCTTTTGTATACTGCACCCAGAATGTGGGTGGTCATCTTTTGTAACTTGTACACTGTTTCCCTTAAATACAGAGTTAACAGATTAAAAAAAAACGAAAAAACTTCGAAACCCACATTTAGTGTATTACTAAAGCTACAGTGGGGGGGGGGGGAAAGAAAGTAGCTGACATCTAATCAAAATGGACATGTGTATGCATATATATGCGTGTGTAAGTGTAAGAGTAACATTTAATCATGGTGTGTGCGACAGAAGGAGCTGAAGATTGCTCTAATCAAATTGCTTTTGTGTATGTATGTGCGCACACGAGTATATATATATATATATATAGAGAGAGAGAGAGAGAGAGAGAGAGAGAGAGAGACGTACTTCTCGTGTGTAGTGTAGTGGTCGTTAGTTACTACGTACGTACGTACGACGTAGGTACGTAACTAACTAACGTAAAGTACGGTTCGGTTACCGTAGTAGACGA